GTCTGACGAGAAGATAGAGCAGAATGCTATCTGTGTCCCACTATCTTTATCTGTATCTTCCAGAGTTTTGGCTGGGCACATGGCTACCCACAAGAAAGTTTACATTTCCTAGTCTCCCCTATAAGTAGGTGTGGCCATATCATTAAATTCTGGCCAGGAGGTAAGCAGATGATCTTTTTCTTTTTTTTTAAGATTTTATTTATTTATTCATGGGAGACACGGAGAGAGAGGCAGAGACATAGGCAGAGGGAGAAGCAGGCTCCCTGCAGGAAGCCCGATGTGGGACTCAATCCCAGGACCCTGGGATCATACCCTGAGCCAAAGGCAGATGCTCAACCACTGAGTCACCCAGGCGTTCCTAAGCAGAATGATCTTAAGTAACTTCTGAGAAATGTCTTTAAAGTGGTGATACTATATAATTTATCATCCAAACTCAGACACCTAAAAGGGAGTGCTAAAAAAATTAAAATTTTATACTTTATTTTTGTAAAGATTTTATTTATTTATTTGACAGACAGAAGGACAGAGAGCAAATGTAGGTGGAGCAGCAGACAGAGAGGGAAAAGCAGGGTCTCTGCTGTGTAGAGAGGATAACCCTGGGATCATGATCTGAGCTGAAGGCAGATGTTTAACCCACTGAGCCACCCAGGTGCCCCAATTTTATACTTTTTGAAACATGTATTTAGTTTTGTTTGCTTAAATTTTATTTAAATTCCATTAATTAACCTATAATACGTTCTTGGTTTCAGATGTAGAGGTCAGTGATTCATCAGTGTTATGTAACACCCAGTGCTCATTACATCACAGACCCTCCTTAATGCCCATCAGCCAGTTACCCTGTCCTCCTACCTGCCCCCCCTCCAGTAACCCTCAGTTTGTTTCCTATGATTTGGAATCTCTTATGATTTGTCTCTGATTGAAACATGTATTTATTAACTAACAATTGACTTTATTATGTTGGTAGACTTGTTAACAAGTTCTCTTAAAAAACTATTTTCAAAAATGAAATTTAAAAACAAAGAAAAATAACATACATCCATGTACATGAAAACAAAAAAGAACTTTATATTGGTTATCTGAATATTAAAAAATAGTTAGTAGAATAATTATTCTTGGTATATATTTACATAGTTTAACTATTTCTTAGCCACATTTGTCCCTAATATTGTGCAAATGGCATTTTTCTGAAGAATGTGCTTTTTTTTTTTTTAAAGAATTTAAGTAATCTCTATATCCAACATGGGGCTTCAACCTACAACCCAGAGATCAAGAGTCACATGCCCTACCGATTGAGCCAGCCAGGTGTCCTGAAGAATGTGTTTTTAAAAATACGGCACTTGAAAATAAAACTGCCAGCAATATTCTTCACAGTTACACTTTATGACTAATTTGAAATTATTCATACCTTCAATTGATTCTTATTGGCAGATCACAGTATTTTTTAATTGAGAGAATGCTCAATCTATAGATTCTGAGTTACCTGTAGGCTCTGAGCAAATTTGCTAAATGGAAGAGGAACTCCATTCTAATTATTTTTAAATATTGTAAAATGTAACTATTCTAGTCCAAATATTTTCAAGGTACTTGTCTTTGCTTCCTTCAGAGTACTTTTCTTTGACAAATATTTTTATAAGACAAAGCTTGTCAAATAAATTGCCTATATGATTCTTTTGAATGTTTTGCTAAAATTAGATGCTGCAAAATCTAGGCCTTCTCAATTTCATTTTATTCATGTGTGTGTGTATAATTTATTCAAAATAGGAACACTACCAAAAGATTCTTCTTACAAGGTGAGATATTCCAAATCACAATTACAGAACTGCAAATTTTAATCCTGGGTAGTATTTGAGATCTTACTATTTATTTTGTTCTCTTCCTCCTTTGCTTTTGTAAGGAAAAATTCCAATGGAATTTTCATTAACTGTAATTCATTAATTCTTTTCATTATAATTCCCTAAAAGTTTCATTTGGTGTTCTATTTGTTGAATGCTTGATTTAAGATTTTGAATGGATTCTGAACAAGATGTCACCAAAACTTTAGTGACTCATTCAATACCATTTTTGGTTACAAAGATTTTGAAAGTCTGATTAATGATAGGCAACAAAGACAGAAGGCGCATATTGCTGTGCTGACCCTGTATTTTTGTACTCAACACAAAAATCCTCAAAATCTTAACAGTTCAAAGACTTGAACATTAAAGATACTTGTAAATTTTTATGGGATCCCTCGGTGGTGGAGCGGTTTGGTGCCTGCCTTTGGCCCAGGGCGCGATCCTGGAGACCCGGGATCGAATTCCACATCGGGCTCCCGGTGCATGGAGCCTGCTTCTCCCTCTGCCTGTGTCTTTGCCTCTCTCTCTCTCTCTCTCTCTGTGACTATCATAAATAAATAAAAAAAAATTGAATTAAAATTTTTATAACAATACTTTCTATTTTAATTAACAGAATGTTGATGCTTGTTTGGATGTGATTATGAATTATGGGTATGCCACAGCAAATTCCAACTATTCCATAGGTTTTGTAATGTAGTAAGAACATTGTGTGTGCCTCACCAAAATGTGTACCTGTATTGTTATTACCACAACACTGTGTGTGCCTCACCAAAAAGTGTACCTGTATTGTTATTATAAACTAATAATTTTATCTCCCATGTTGTACTTCCAGTGTGGGGCTTGAACTCTTGACCCTGAGATCAAGAATTGGATGCTTTACTGACTGAGCCAGCCAGGTGCCCCTTCCATGTTGTACTTTATTTATTTATTTATTTTTTCCATGTTGTACTTTAAACTGAAGTTCCAATCTCACTCATAATGGCTTTACCTCTGATAGAATATACTTCCAAAAGCTTTACCTTGATTTCATGAATGGATGGAAAAAATAAAGCTTTTCCTGAATTAACTAAAATGATTTAATTGCTTAAAGTACCTGAAGACACTCAACTAAAATGGAATTATTTAGCTGTTTGCAAAGTTCTCTTCTGCCAACAAATGGAAAGTTATTGCTTACCCTTGACCACGTGCACATAAAAACTTGTAGTCGAAAATGAGTGAAATTAATTTAGAAAAATAGACATTTGTCTAAAAGTTAGGCTTCACAAAGTGGAAGGAATATATACCTTCTGTAGCTATATATGTTAAGTTGTCATCTTCAGGAAATCTTCTGAAAGTAAATACTAACTTCGGAAACAGATCGTGATACTTTTTCAGCAGATCTGATGCTTCTTGTTTTCATGTGGCCAGTGATAATAGTATGGCCTCCACAGTGGCTAGTGAATGTTCACATTTTGCGTAAATTATGCATTCCTTATCAACTTTCTCAGTATTTAAAAAAATGAAATATATAGTTTTTAGCTTATTGCTGCCAAGAGGGTTTATTGCAAAAACAAAGTGTTGCCAAACAATTAAACAGTTAGAGGTTTACATTATACAGGCAAGCGTGGTCAGTCTACTCTCTACCTTCTCTGATCAGCCTTGATTTCCCATAGATACTTGACTGATGTCCAACTTCCACCTTACTATGTTTCCCACTGAGCTTTTGGACTGGTACCTGGTGGCTTGGTGACTCTTGAAGGCCATGCACAGGCCTCATAGGTTAACCTAGACATTCAGTGCACTTTGTTCTATCAGCAATTGCCCTGCGTTCTGTCCTTGATTGGGAGGTGTCTGAAAGGGCTGGGAAAAGAGATAAGTTATTGCTGGTTGTCCTCTAGATTTAATATCATGTTAACATGAGAGCACTCTCTCCACTGTACATGGGTCTCACATACTATTAGCCTACACTGGACAAAAACTGAGGCAGAGGTTGGAAGTATAAAGCAGACATCTACGAGACCTATCCTGGCTCATCCTAATGTAACTATTCATAATTGTTTTCTCTTAAAAAAATCCAGGACAAATGTTAAATCAGATGGTATTCTGGGTCAGCACTTAAGACTATCCTAAGCAAACCAGGATGTCCTCTCACTTCACCTTCGAGAGAAGGAGATCTGTCTTTCTCTGTACTTCCTCCTCCTCCTTTCCTGTGGAATGGAGTGAGAACATGATGGCAGCCATTTGAGGCCAAAAATAAAGCGTAAGATAGGGATGGCGGAGCAGTAAGACAAAAAACATCTTGGTTCCTGAGTTTGTAGAATTAACCCCAGACTGCCTACTCCTGGATGTTTTTACATGAGAAAGAATAAATTCTATCTTGTTCAGGCTACTGTTATTTCATGACTAAACTGATTCAAACTCATATATAAGGAATATTTCTATCATCTTTCTAGAAAACAGCTTGGCAATATGTATCATCAAGAATGCTAAAAATGTTTAAACCCTTTGCACCACTTTTAGGTATTTATCTGAACAAAATAATCTGAAATGAGGGATATGGCTGTGTAAAGATGTTTATTGAAGATCTATTTATGACAATAAAAAATTAGAAGTGACTTAAATTCCCAAAACGAGAAGTCTGTTAAATAAATGATATTACATCTAAATAGCTGAATATTACACAACCATTACAAAGTGTGTGAAAAATGTTAATAACATAGGAGAATACCCACATTATAATATGATATAGGAAAAAACTGTCAGGATTAAAAAAAAAAAACCTTATGCATGTTAAGTTCTCATCTATGTCACAAAAAATTCACATATATAAAGGTAGGAGTAAGCAAACAAAAAGCTTGAAAGGAAACACACTGCAATATTAACTAACAGTGATTATCTCTGGATAGTGAAGTAAATAGGTAATATTTGTTTATATATCTTCTTTGTGTTAAATATTTGACAGTATTTTATAATTAACAAATAATTATAACCAGAAAAACGGAAGTTAATTTCAAAACTCCTTGCTAGCATTTACTGGTTTTACCTGGTGCTGACACTGCCACCATCATCACAATTTTACTGAGCATCTATCTACATGTGGGGAATTGGGGCAGCAGGGTACACAGACCTCCATAGCTCCAGTAGAGCCTCCTAAAAGCCATCAGATACAAATAAACTGCCCAGTATTACCTTGGTATTTTGTAGCAGAGCTAGTCCGTTGCAGGCATTTGCTAGAAGAAAGTCTCCACTCAGGATAGCTATTTTATTTCCAAATTGCATGTCTTTCAGTGGTCCATCAGAAGATTGCAATTCGTTTAAATTTACTATCCCACGATGTACGAGGAGAGCAGTATGGATAAGTTCTGTGATCTCTGCCAAACTTCTTTGACTAAAATATGAAGGTAAGATTTGTCTGAGTTTCAAGAATACCATCATATCAGTAATGCCAGTTTTCAACAATAAAATATTTCAGTGACTAGTCTCTTTCTCTCTCTCTCTCTTTTTAAAATATTATTCCTTTTTAATGAAGTTTTTAATAGAGGGCTCTCCACTGAGCAGTTTGGGATCTATAAGCAGATCTTGACATGTTCCTTCCGTATAACATTCCTCACCTTCCATCCCATGAATAACCAGGATTTTCCAGAGAAGCTGGCCAGTGCGGCCACCCTCTACAGTTCCATTTAGATACTTGTTATTAGTATACCTTTCCCACCTCTGTGATTTTAGGATTACTGAAAATCCTTACTAGTACCTAATGAAACTCCAATTTAAGGGGAAACAACCTGTGTCAGGCATTATGCTAAGCACTTTTATACATTATCTTTTTTAATCCTAATGCAAAGCTATGGTATTTACAGAGCTGAATAAAATGTGGCCTCCTTCCTTAAAGATCTTACATTTCAAAATAAAAACCAAGATATATACCTACAGTAGTAAATAAAACAGAGAAGGCCCTGGAGAAGTTTATAGTATAGTATTGTATCAGATGGGATGTCAATAAATGTTTTTCTTTCCTTTTTTTAGAAAAAGACTTTATTTATGTATTTGATAGAGGAGAGAGAAAAGAGCACAAGTGGGAGGAAGGGGGAGAGGGAGAGGGAGAAGCAGCAGAGCCTGATGTGGGGCTTGATCCCAGGACTCTGGGATCATGACCTGAGCCGAAGATAGACACTACCATCTGAGCGACCCAGGCACCCCAAAATGCTTCTTTTCTTATACTTTTCTATAGTTTATACATTTTCTACAATGACAAAAGTATTATTTTAATATCATAAAAATCCAATTTCTAAAATATTTAAATTCCATAACCATCCTATGATAGGTATTAACTTCTTGTTATATGTGAGAAAATTGTTGCACACTGTTAAATGACTTTCCCAAAGGCACACAGTAACGTAGGGCTGGAAATCTGTTGGAATTTGTTACAAATGACTTCATGGAATCAGACTACCTGGTTTCCTTGTCCTTGGTTGTCTCTTCCACGCAAACTCTGGGCTTAGCCATGTGACTGACTTTGGCCAAAAAGACCTTAGCAAATGTGACACAAGCAAAGCCTGAAAAATGCTTATGGATTAAGACTTGTCCAAAGCAGTCACATGAGTGATCCCAGGCAGAACTATCTGGTCAATCCACATATTGCTAAGAAATAAAATGACTGTTTCAAGTTACTCAATTATAGTTTGCTACGTAGCAATAGATAACTGATACAGAAACTAGCATATCTGGGTGTGCTGCTTAACAAAAGCCTAAAATATGTGTCAATGGCTTTGAGTCTGAATGATGGGGGGCGGTGTGGGGGGGGCTAAATGGGAAAGCTGAAGAAATGGCAAATTCCTAGTGGCATCTGGAAAGGCAGTGAGAAATTGTTATTGGAGACTGAGAAGGGACATACTGTGTTAGAAGGTAGTGAAACAACTGGGAAAACTGTTGCCTATGGTAACTTGAAAGATAGAAAATATATATAATGAAATTATGTATCTGGATGGGGTGATTGATTCTCAGGCAGAATGGTGAAATGTCATTTGGATTATTGTAGCTGTGCATGCCAAGGTACAAGAGAGATGAGCTAAAGAGAGAATTGTTAGTTTGGAAGCACAATTTACAGGACTAGTAAGGGAGCAAAGACTCGCTATGCTGAAAATAAAACTTTTGGGACACCTGGATGGCTCAGTTGAGCGTCTGCCTTCAGCTCAGGGTGTGATCCACTGGAGTCCTGGGATCGAGTCCTACATCGGGCTCCCTGCCTGGAGCCTGCTTCTCCCTCTGCCTGTGTCTCTGTCACTCTCTCTTCTCTCTCTCTCTGTGACTCTCATGAATAAATAAAAATCTTAAAAAAAAAAAAAAGAAAACTTTCACATCTCCAGTCTCTCCAGAAAAAATCCTGCCAAAGAAAGAAATGGTACTAAGAAAAAGATAAAAACAAAACTGTGGCTATAAGACCTTTTCTAGAGACCTAAAAATATAAGGTGGTGCCCAACAGATTCCTTTGCTAGACAAAAGGTCTTCTAAGAACCCCAAGGGTTCTGTCCCACAGCAGCCTTACACCCAACTTAAAGTTGAGATGTCCATCTCCAAAAAGAACTATGGATGTGGCTTTTAGGACATGAAAAGAACATTAATGACATTCAAGGAAAAAGCAGTTAAGGGAGTTGTATGAGCTTTAAGTGAAAGTGACAAGAGACAGTCCAAAAGGAAAACGAAAAAAAAAAAGGAGCTTCTAAATCAACTTCCATGGACAAGAAATCAGGCTGAGACGGCTACTCAGTTACAAGTATAAATCTCCCCCTCCTCCTCCTCCTCTTCTTCTTCTTCCTCCTCCTCCTCTCTTCTTCTTTTCTTTCTCTTTCTTTTTCTTTCTTTTTCTTTCTTTCTTTCTTTCTTTCTTTCTTTCTTTCTTTCTTTCTTTCTTTCTTTCTTTCTTTCTTTCTTTCTTCTTTCTTTCTCTTCTTTCTCTCCTTCCTTCCTTCCTTCCTTCCTTCCTTCCTTCCTTCCTTCCTTCCTTCCTTCCTTCCTTCCTTCCTTCCTTCCCCTCCTCCTCCTTCATTGAAGTAGAGTTGACACAGTGTTACATTAGTTTCAGCTGTATAACATAGTGATTCCATACTCTATGCTATGCTATGCTCACAAGTGTAGCTCTCTCTGAATTGTTTCTTATTGCAAATGTTCAGGGAAAATAGTTCAGAGAGTAAAGGATTCTGGAGGACAGTGGATCAGGGAACCTCTCCTGAGAAACAGACTGGGTCCTAGTCAAGAAATATTCCTTGCTTCTAGAGACAGAGGTCCTCATGCTGTATGCCCAGTTGGATTTCAGAATTACTATGGGCCATTGATTATTATGTGCTTTCCATTCCTCCCTCTTTGTCAATGGAAGTGACTATTGTGGTTATCTTGTTCCTGGCTCACCATTCTATGCTATGTGTAGTGGCGGTACAGGTAGGTTATAACTCATCCTTTTTGTTCTCTGGATTAAGAGGAGTCGCATCTACAAAGGAACCTAACCAAAATTATGAGATCGTGGACCTTGAGCTTGATGGCATGAAATACATGAGACTCTGGGGTCTTGGGAAGTGGTTAAGTATATGTTGCATAAGGAAGGAATGTGAATCATGGGGACCTGAGGGTAGACTGTGGCAGACGATTATACCAATGGCCACTGACAAATCATACCTCCTGACATCCATGTCACGTCTCCTCCTCGATTAGCTCTGAGTTGATTATATGACTTGTTTGGCTAGTGGGATACCAGCAAAAGTGGGACAAACAAGCTTGGTAAGTGATTTTGCACTGGGGCTCACCATCTTGGAATGTTTTCCCAAGACTACATGTGAAGAAACCTAGTCTAGCCTCCTTCACGATGAAAGGCAACATGGAGAGAGGAAAACCCAACTTTCCTAACCATGCTTACTTTCCAGTTGACCTCCCGGTAAATGCAGCCACATAAATAAACCCAGGGGGAACTAGCAGAGGATCAGTCCAGCCAATCCACAGAACTATGAAAAATAAAATGTTTACTGTGTTAAGCCAGCAAATTTTGGGGGCAGTTTGTTATATAATAGAAAATTGATAGAGACTTCATTTTTTTGACTTTTTTTTTTTTTTAATTTATGATAGTCACAGAGAGAGAAAGAGACATAGGCAGAGGGAGTAGCAGGCTCCATGCATTGGGAGCCCGACGTGGGATTCGATCCCGGGTCTCCAGGATCGCGCCCTGGGCCAAAGGCAGGCGCCAAACCGCTGCACCACCCAGGGATCCCTGATAGAGACTTCAAAATCCTTTCTATTTTTACTATACTAGGCTGCTTCCTAGATTGCCAGCTGCAAAATTTTAACATTTTCTCTGAGGAAGGTAAATTTGTGCTGGGACTTGAATGGCAGGTATGGTATCTCAGCTAGAGAGGAAGGGCAGACACAACAGTAGAGATTAGGAATCCCAGAATAACGAAGAACAGGAATCAAGGTTTGGTGAAGGCAAGAGGGGGAGGAGGTCAGGTTGGCTAGAGTACAGGGTCTGTGGGGATAAGTGAGAGGTAGGAACCTGGAGCTAGATTACAGCAGGTTAAAGGGCCTGTATTTTGTTCCACAGGCAGCGTTTTTGAGGAGGGATGATATTTCTTTTTAAATGATTTAGGAAAAATATTCTGAAAGACAGCCTTAGACATGGAGACAAATAAATATAAAACAATCAGATAATAAATATAAGACTTTTTAATCCTAAATTAAAGACTACTGAAAAGTTAACAGAAAACATTTAAAAACAAAAGGAGCGAATATTTAAAAGTATCGTTTAAAATAGTAACTAGGGGATCCCTGGGTGGTGCAGCGGTTTAGTGCCTGCCTTTGGCCCAGGGCGTGATCCTGGAGACCCGGGATCGAATCCCACGTCGGGCTCCCGGTGCATGGAGCCTGCTTCTCCCTCTGCCTGTGTCTCTGCCTCTCTCTCTCTCACTGTGTGCCTATCATAAATAAATAAAACAAAAAAAAAATTAAAAAAAAATAAAATAGTAACTAAAGAAATAAAAACATATTTTATTAGCATTCTGTTCTCTAGTTTATAATACCAATCACTGGAAAAATCCATATAGTCACATTTCACAGAAATCACACAACAGGAGTGTCGGCAAGTCTATAACTCAGGAAGGGTTAAGGACTGGACAGCTGTCTCCGTCAGCCAGCTTATGAAAGAAAGTAATAACCAGGCATGCAAGAAGTTGTAGGTGTTTTTTTTTTCTTTTTTTTAAAGATTTTATTTATTCATGAGAGACATACAGAGAGAGGCAGAAACGTAGGCATTGGGAGAACCAGGCTCCGTGGGGGAAGCCTGATGTGGGATTTGATCCCAGGATCCTGGGATCATGCTCTGAGCCAAAGGCAGACACTCAACCACTGAGC